TTTTTAAGAAAGTTTGTGAGATCATGGGCATTCGTAAGACAAGGACAACACCTTTACACCCTCAGTCTGATGGCATGGTGGAACGATTCAATAAGACCATAGAGGAATACCTGACAAAAGTGGTCGCAAAGAACCAACGAGATTGGGACAAGCATTTGCCTCTATTTTTAATGGCTTACAGAGCGGCTGTTCACGATTCAACAGGTGAAAGTCCGGCTAGAATTGTTTTTGGAAGGGAACTCAGGTTACCTTGCGATCTGATGTTTGGAGTACCCGAAGAAGAACGAAGAGAAATCCGAGATTATGCCGACGAAATAAGGGCACGACTTCTGGGTATCCATGATTTTGCTCGGGAGCATATTCAACTAGCCAGTGACCGAATGAATACGACTTGAAAGCCAATTCGGTCGGATTTCAAGAAGGTGATTTAGTGTGGTTGTATAACCCAGCAAGGAAGAAAGGAGTATCGCCGAAATTGTCTTCAGCATGGGAAGGACCCTATAGAATAATCAAGAGGATCAATGATTTGGTTTATCGAGTCCAGCGCAACACCAGGAGTAAGATGAAAGTTGTACATCTGGACAGATTGGCGAAATATCATGGGCGTGAAGTTGATCGGGAGAAGGGCAGTGTCACGATATCGTCCGCCAGGCTGTCAAGAATCGATGGTGAAAATACTAGAATCTAGCATCTTAAGGTTTAAAGTCAGGCCTATAGTTTATTACAGCAACGCGAGATGTCAATGCTGTCGCCCCTATAGTGTGCCCTAATTTGACTGTCAAAAAAAAAATAGAAATCTTCATTTTGCTAAATTGTGTGATGGAACGTTTTTTCTTTTTTTGGTGGAAATTCGAAGTATTATTCTATTTTACATAAACAAGGTTGTAGTTTCGACCAACGCAAATAATTTTGAACGTTCATCCGTCGGATTTTTTTCTAAACAGTGTAGCTACGGGCGTATTTCCAACTATTCTTGCAGTAGCGAGAAAACTACAAGTTCAAAAAATTTGAAAAAAATATATGTCGCGTAGAATTGCAATAGTAGTTCGTAATAAAAGTAATGGGAAATTTCATCTATTCGTTTCGAAATAAATGGTGAAAAACTACTTTTTTTTTTCAGTTTTTGCGATATAACTCAAAAATGGCGAGTCAAATTTGCTTTAAAAAATTATGGATTAATGTATATCGATAACCATGAAACATATATTTTTTTCGGAATTTTTGAACACAAGGTTCAGAAAATAGGGGTTGACTTTAAACCTTAATAGTTGTGATTAATATACTCTTATTAGTAGCAATTGGAAACATTTGTTGTTTATTCAGTTATACTAAAATTCTTTGCTGGGACAACAGAGGTCCCTTCTGGGTTTAATAACTTCAAGTATTGAGTTATGATAACTAAAATTACTTGTACTGTGAAAAAGATTATTATTACCCACAAGAATTTTTTGTTCAGCTTTTACTAAAATGTTTAGTTATATCTTGTTTTCGGGTAACCACGGTTTCATTCGGTCGAGCATTTCTTTCCGAATTCTTTTCAGTTCCAATATTCATCACGCACAACTCACAAGTCGCACCTCAAGGTTGGGTTGACGAAAATCAACGACGATAGCAACTAACTAGCAAGAGCAAGAAAATATCAACTAACTAGCAAGAGCAAGAAAATATTAGGTACCTATAAATAAATAAGTAATTATTATTTTTTGTGCGTGATCATCGGGTGTCTGGTGACTGGTTCCCTTCCCGTCCGTTGTGTGGGCTATTAATTAGTGCGGAGTGTTTTGTGATTGATGCTTTTTTATTGCCTAGTTAGGTGGGCAGGTGGGGACATGACGTAACAATTATTATGGCAAGAGTGGGGATTGGAATCGTTTTCCGATTTATTTGAGGGTGAGTTGCAATTATTAGGTAACCAATAATAATATACGTCATTTGAGGCAGGTTTACGGCTTACGCAGCTCTCAAGCCAAATGCATAATGGATCATTCTGGTGCGTTAGTATGCATAATTCAACTCCTTCGTCTCCTTCTGTGCAACAGAAAAAAGTGTTTTTATATGCATACAAATTCAGAAGTCTAAAGTAAAAAAAACAGTATATAAGTACCTACACCAATAACCTATTAGATATTACCTATAGGTACTTTACTTTCGTATGCATTGTGTATTATTATTTATCTTGACTTTGAAAGTTGAGAAGCTTGCTAGAAATATAATTTTGTTGTGTTTTCTTAAGTTGTTTTGATAAGAATTTACTTTTGAAGAATACCTATTTATTTATTTTTGGTAACCTATACATTTCCAAGATTGTTAATTTTTCTAGGACCATAGAAAAGTTTATTTTTTTGTTAGTGATTTGAGATATGATCTAGCAATAGTTTAACACGTGATGCCTTAACTACCAGATCGTCAGATAATGACAGATTACAAATGTAAATTTTTTGGAATAAATTTTTTTTCAAAACTGTCAATTTTTAATTCTAACAAAAGCGATTTGTAATGGTAACTAAGTTATTTTTAGCCACAACTAAATAAGTTTTTCAATACAACAACATTTGTTTGCAACGGCAACTAAGTTGTTTTTAGCCACAACTTAATATGTTTTTTATCACAACAATATTATTTGCAATGACAACTGAGTTATTTTTAGCCAAAACTAGAATCTAGTTGGTTGTAACTGAACTTTTTAGTTGTGATGAATAAAACTGGTTACTATCTGCAACTAATTCTACTCAGTTACAGCAATAAGATCCTCGACCAATTAACTAAATTTATTTATTTGAGACGACTATGCTTTCTAGTAAATAAATTTTAGTTGTCGCAACAAATTTGGCTAGCTGTCCTCTATTTTTTTAAGTTTTTTTGCTGCCATAACTAATTTTTTAGTAATGGCTACGAATTTTTTCCTCAGTGTAGGCCTGAATATAAGCTTCAAAATTTGGTTAAGATAAAACTAAACAGAAAACAAATCCTGGAGAGTAGGTAGGTACCTAATTATTTAGTAGATAAAGGTTTGTCAAAAAGAATTCATACCTTTTGCCAACATTCGGGTTTTCCACTAATAACTTCATGAAATAAAAACTTTACATCCAAAAATTCGAAAATTATCCTTCCAAACACTAAAAAATCACCTTGAAACACAACAAAATAAACAAAAAAAAAAAGTTTTTGATGAAAAATCTCCTGGTTGTTTGAATTAAATTTATGGCGCCAATTTCATTGCTTGCCGCTTGGCATTGGCTGCCATTTTCATTGGATTGCCCTATTCTGTAATGAAAAAATTGATCAGGTGGAACCTTTATCAAAGGTGAAGGTCAAAGTTGGGTTAGGAATTAAAATGTTTGACGAAAATCGACAAGCATTTCGAGCAATTGCCAACACGTTATAAATGTTTCAAACATCTGCTGAAACAGCTGACATTTGCAAATTGTCACTAACATTTCTTTGCTGGAACACAAATTTGTCATTGCGCATGTTACAAGCTACTGCCAACATTTCTGATAGCCTGCTGGAATAAACCTATTATGTATTACCTGATACCTGAGAGAAACTGACAGCCGTATTCATAGTCAATCTCCAGCGAGTCGCCAGGGAGTCGCCATGTGCTGGGCCAAATACGGCGACTCGCTGGCGACTTGGTGGCGATTGACTATGAATACGGCTGTGAGTGGGAAGTGTTCCGTGCCCCACAATATTTGGAAGAAGTTGGGCCATACTGCAACTAATTGCTACAAAAACCGATCATCTACTTCAAAATCAGCTTTGACTCTCCAAACAGAAAACCAGAACTTTAAAAAATGCTATCAAGTGAATGGAGTTTCCTGTGACGGACTTGTTAATAGAGGGTGTGCGGTCCTTACTATACGCGTAACCACTGCTGAAAAATGCAACATTTCATGGCAGCTCTGCAGCATAAGAATAAATGGCTATGCCGGCTGTATTGCATATCCTTGGGAACTGCACAAGTGAACATTGAAGTTGATCTGATAAATGTAACTGTTGCAGCTCTTATTGTTTCTGACAATATACAGGGTGTATCATGATGGGACAAACTGTTTCAAACCATCCTGATGTAGTATAGAAAAATGAGAAAGTGCGACTCTTCAAATCCCAATTGTTGCCGTTATCTCGAGTAGATAGCCTTCCACTCAGTAAAATCAAGATGTTCGTTAATAAGCAGATTACGATTCCTGCTAATTATTTAGGTGATGTGACTTTTCATGTGGACGACTAGTATCAAGGAGAACTCTTTGTGGATCTTCAGTACCATCGGCGGAATATTCGATTCCCAGCTACAAAGAGTAGAACGTCACCCATCTTAAACATGTCTAATACTGACCTGACATTCAAAGATTCATAAGTAATAGCCAGAAGCCAGGTATGCTTAGGTAAGAGCACTCCATATAAATCCCAATGATTATCGGCCATTTACCTTAGAAAATACTGGTTGTGGCTTTTCTCTGAGTGATACTGATAAAAAAGGATTATTAGTAATACAGTGGTATACTACTTAATAAATATCGACATTGTTTTGCTGAAAAATTGGAGGAATTGGGTTGTGTGAAAGGTTCTTTGAGTATTCAGCTCCAAGTCTGTGACGTATCCACCTATTACCATTTTTCAATGAGCGAGAGAGATTTGGTACAATAAATTGTGTAAGATCTGCTGAAAGTAGGTATAATACTAGACATGACTCGTGGTTATCACCAAATACCGATAGCAAAAGATTCCATGGCAAAAAATGCTTTCATAACCCCACATAGGCACTACGAATACTCGAAGATGCCTTTCGGATTAGCAAATGCTCCAGCAGCTTTTCAAAGAACAGTGAACCAATCAGAGATTCTAAAATTGTAAATGTTACCTATATAATCCAATTATTAACTTTGAATCAAGAATTTCAGTTATGAGGCACTTTTAATGTTAAGTTTTTCTGTGTGAATGTCGAATATTGTGATAAAGCTAATTATTATCATTAAGGTTATTTTTATGGTCAATTTCAGGTCTGGGCAATCAGCTACGTAACCTGGTCAAGCCTGATACTCCTGTTTTACGCAAATATAGTATGGCTCTTGCCCTTCAGAAGACAAGTAATGCTTAGCACGAGCCCTTTTTTGGTGTTTTTCATGGTCGTCTTACTGCTAACGGCCTATGCCTATTCCTTAGACTTAACCAGAGAAGAACTCCCTACTAAAATAGGAATATTTGATTTTTCGATTTTAGGTAAAAATCCCTTTTTAAAGGTTTATTATTGAATTAACTAGTAGTATTTTAGTTTGTAATATTGACAGTCAACAAAAATGGTTGACGCTAATGACGAAATCGCTTATGGCTTGTGTAGTTTTCGCTTCCATGGGGCAATATTTTCGGGAAAGATCGTTGAGAAAATTAGCCAAGACTAGCAGGAAGTCAATGTTTGGCATGACTCCATTAATGCTAGCAGGTTGATATACAAATTCTAGAATACTTATCAGTTTTCTTAACTAATATTTTTTTTTTTTTAGTTAAAGCTAGATTAAAAACCTCTTTTATAACTCGCTTTCAAAATTTAATTTTCGAGTTTCTTGGCTTATGGTGGATATGGATAGTAACAATCACTATGATTGGTATAGAGTTTTGGACAGACATCACTCTATTCAAAATGGTTTTTGTTGCTTTTGTGATTATATTTTTAATAACATTTCAAGTAAGTATAATAATTATTTTTGCTGCTAAAGACTAATAATTCTAGATTCTACCATTCAATGCATGGAAAAAATTCCTAAAAATCTACTGGTGGGTAACAGTGTTTTACGCACTTGCCAACCTTTTGCTACTGTACATGTCCCAAATCGACGGTACCAGGGACTTTTTGCAAAAATACCTTTCCCGGCGCTGGTACGAGGCTTTTCATTTCGAAATTTTCGAAAACACAACAGACAGATTTGCTGCATTGGCCTGGCCTTTGTTCTTGCAAATCACCATTTTGATTCAGCAGAATTTCTTCCAAGAGGAATTCAACAGGATCACTTCGCCGGTTGATCCAGAAGAATTGGCCGAAGAAGAGGAGGAATTGAAGAAGAAAAGTAAGAATTTTGTCAATAGAATTTCAAATCTTCTTCCAGTTCCAAGTAATTCAAAACCATGAATGACAAATCATATATTTTTTCCTTTAGATTCCGCATGGACGAAACTGGTATTACTATTCCACAAAATCCGTGACGTATTTTTCGCCTTCCTGGAAGCCTATTTACTCAATCTAATCCTCCTGATTGGTTGGTACATGTGCCTTTATGACATGGGTGCAGTTTTTGTCCCGGTTGTAATGTTGCTAATCTGTGCCTGTTTGTTTGGTAGAAAAATAGCCAATCCTGTTGTCCATTTGGTATCGATTTGCGTGCAATTATTAATTATTCTAAGGATGATCTACATGCATCAGTACCGGTATCATCGTGAGTGGGACTATACTGGAGAATATGTAAGAAACATAGAATTCAATTCAATTTTTTTTAAATAATGAATTATAGATCAAAAATGGGGAAACTCATAATGTTACCTTGAACAGTGCAGATTGGTTTGGGTTTCATCAACCCAGCAAAGATATGTACACTGCGGATTTTTGGCAATTGGCTTGGTGTTTTGGATACGTTTTCTCTGTAGTGATGCATCGCATAGTGACGATAAGGATGGCCAATTATCGTTTTTCAAGAGAACTACCTAAGCCAAAGCCTATTGTAATGTTTCCCGATGTTACCTGGAAAAATTGTCACGACACTACTGGAAATTTGCTTAAATTCTTAGCGAATTATGGATTTTACAAATTTGGATGCGAAGTAAGTTATGGCTGGGATTATATAGTTATTAGAATAAACGGTTGAATACTAGAGTCTCAATTTTCCTACATGTACTTACAATTTTTCCTTATTTTCGTGACTCTACAATGAAAACTGCGGCAAGTACACTGCGTTATAAGCATGCTTATTGGTGTCCCCCCAATTTTGAAAATTACTTTTTTCAGAATTTCGGAAAATAAAAAAATTCCATCGTATAGAGGAGCAAAAAATACGTCGAAAAGCTTATATGACGTTTTTAGCTCCGACATATTATAAGGCTAGTGAAAAATAAAAAAGGAAATTACAATTTTGGTAGGAAGAAAATTTTAGGTACCCGCCATGGCGCCACATTTTAGGTTATAGCTTCGGTATTTTCAAACCGATTATCTCGAATTAAGTTTCCTTCGAAAGAGGATTAAATTACCTACAAAACTGTTTTTTATTGATATTCCAGGTAGTTTTCGTCTCCGAGATATAAGCCGTCAAATTTGAAATTTCTTTGAAAATGTAACGAAAGTTTCGAGGTCAATTTTTTCAAAAATGGTGCCCCGTAGAAGGGTAACTCTTATAAGATTTTTTGTAGTTCTCAATGAGATCTACAAGTTTTGCTCCAAAAGATTTTCTCTCAGACTCATCGTTTTCGAGCTAAGACGATTTGAAAATTCGAAAATAATATTTCCCCTTTGGATTTTTTTGTCGAAAAAATTCAAAATTCAAATTTCGAATTTTTTTTGTGATGACGGTTTTTAGGGGACTCGAAATATCCCCCAAACGATTTTTTGTTTGTTTTTTTTTTTCGTGTTTTCCAAAAATTTTTTCAAATGTATGGGCGCCGGAATATCAAAATTGCCATGGGGCTCGGGCTCCAAAAATTAACAAAAGTAGAATTATACTTTACTAGACACATAGGCTCAAATGGGACTAGTACCATTGATGTAGCCAGGAATTTATCTTGAGGTGAGGGGGCAAAGGACCCTGTCCAAAGTACACGGAAATTGTGTTTATGTCAGAATTGGCTGAATTTCGTATATAATGTAGATCACGCCTTCCTAATTAAGAGTCACCATTGCACGAATCCTGAAAAATGACTCCTTTTTAAGAAAATTTATTTCATAAGTAGCAGGTAAAACGCTTGAACATTGTAATTGACGTTCAATGTAGCACGAATAGATAAGCTTGTGGCACCGTGATGTGCTACATGGAGTCATTTTTCAGGATTGGTGCAATGGCAACTTTTAATCAGAAAGGCGTCAGCCAATATAAACACAATTTCCGTATACTTTGAGCAGGGTCCTTTGCAAAAAGTGATCCTTGCAAGCGCAAAATTTTTGAACCTTTTTACGGTATTTTTGGGACTTCTAATGGTGGGGGCAAAAACCAAGTCAGCCTTGCAGTTTGAAAGTACACAGACCTTTGCCTGGACCGACTCCATGATTATTTTAGGATGGATCAAGGGAGATCCGATAAAATGGCACACTTTCGTTACAAATAGAGTATGTGAAATATACAGAAACGCACCTCAGGTATCATAGAATTACGTCAAATCACAGGAAAATCCAGCACATATCGTATCGCGAGGATTGGACCCCGACAAACTACAATCAGCTGAACTGTGTTGGAAATGGTTAAACCGATCTAGCAATCTACCAATTCAATTACAGACAAAAATCCAGGATTTACAGACGAAATCAAAACTACGTGCCACAAAATCGGAGTCATCATAGCAAATGATACATGGGAACGATTTTCAGACCTAATAAGGATGCTACGAATAATATCCTACTGCCATCGCTTCACAAACAGAAAAAAAAATCCAATTTTGTCTGTAAGAGCCGTTTTACACGGCAAAGTTTCTTCACGAAATTATTGCCGAAATATTTCGTAAGTTTACTACTCTTCGTTTCGCTTTTTCCTGTTTGACACAGAGCTACGTCAAGTTAGCCCCCCCCCACATGCTCGAAGTGTGCTTTACTGTGCCGATGATATTTTGAACTGTGCCGTTTCGATAAAAAAGTTATAAGAAAAAATAGATGAGGGGCTAAGTTGACGCTCAGCCCCCCCAAAATTTTGGAAATTAGATTAAACAAAATTGAATTCTTATCCATTCTGAAGTGTGCTGAACTGTGCTGTATCAGGTTTTTCTCAAAATTTCCACATTCGGTCATTTTCCGACAAAATCCTACTGGGGGGCTAACTTGACGCTCAGCCACCCCAAAATTTTGGAAATCAGATTAAACAAAATTGAATTCTTATCCATTCTGAAGTGTGCTGAACTGTGCTGTATCAGGCTTTTCTCAAAATTTCCATATTCGGTCATTTTCCGGCAAAATCCTACTGGGGGGCTAACTTGACGCTCAGCCCCCCCAAAATTTTGGAAATCAGATTAAACAAAATTGAATTATTATCCAATCTGAAGTGTGCTGAACTGTGCTGTATCAGGTTTTTCTCAAAATTTCCATATTCGGTAATTTTCCGACAAAATCCTACTGGGGAGGTAACTTGAAGCTCAGCCCCCTCAAAATGTTGAAAATTGGATGAAAGAAAATTGAATTATTTTCCAATCTGAAGTGTACTAAGTCTGCTGTTTCAGGTTTTCTCAAAATTTACATACTTATTCGGTTATTTTCCGACAAAATCCTACTAGCTAACTTGGCACTCAGCTCTGAAAATTAACATACATTCCTGTTAATTAAATTTTACCAGATTTTACGAAATTATAATAATTTTCCTAGTGATTTACTCGTTTTTCAAAGATAACGATAAAAGAACTATCAGATCAGTTTTTTATCGCACTGCGCATGCCTGCACCACGACCAGCATTTCTCAAAGCAGTGTTTGTAAGGTTAACTCTTTAAAAGCTGCTCTAACACACCCGAACGATACGGAGTCAACATTTGCTCTAACTGGTTGTACCCGAATACCCGAACGACTTAAGTAGGGTTGCCACCTCTCCGGGTTTCACCCGGAGTCTACGGGTTTTTACATTTGGTCTCTAGGCTCCGGATTACTGGGTGTTTTCTCCGTGTAAAACCGCATTTAACAAAAAAAAAACGCATTTAAGAAAAAAAATTGGATTTAGCAACAGCGCAATCCTGTTTGTGCAAATACCGTTTCTCTCGGAGAAATTGAGAAATTATCCGACTCCGACACGCACGTTGGTGATAGACAGCCCACGAACTCAATGCTGCATAATCTCCCTCAAGGATATTAAACACAACTACAAGTCTGCGCATCAGACTCGATTTTTGGAATCAAGACCATGATGTTGCACCGTTACTGACGTCATCAACGGTGTCGTTAACTGTTTGCGTCAGCGGTCGTAAAATGGCAACTGCTGCTTTTCAGTTTTTAGTTTTGTTCGCAAAACTTGTCGAATCCGCACGGCCTCAATTAATTTTCGAAACATTCAGAACACGCACTGTGACTCTACGACAAAAACTGCCACTGCGGCAAATATAGTGCGTTCCGCAGGACCAAAACTGCGTCACGTCACGCTCAGGGTTGCCAGATCTATGAAATGGAAAAGCGGGACTGATGTTATCCAGAGGGAAAGCTCGCCAAAAAGCGTAAGGGGGGAGGAAGGGCAAGTGCCCAATGTGTCCCCCTCCTATAGACCCCCTTGAGCAAAAGCGCTACAAATTTTTGGAGCCATACGTCCAAATTTTGTTAAGAATTCAACCAATACTCGACCAAAAAAAAAAATTCTCCTTTATAAGATAACAAAATAAACGCTTTACGACAAAACAACAGAAAACATCATTATTTATACCCTATAAATAAACGCTATACTTTTTCTATGACCATGTTATGGTTTTTGCTGTTAAACTAATGTAATTTTTAATTAATTTTATTACTATTATTTTGCTTTTATTACATTATATCATTGTATATTATAATTGGATTTGAAAAAATGTTTTTTCTAATTTTGACATTTAAAGTGACACTTTTCAATACTCGTTGACGTTATCAAATGCCTTACTTTCCATCACCAGTTACGAAAAGTAAAATTTTTCGCAACTGGCGATGAAAAGTAAATTTCACCATTAGTTGCAAAAAATACAGGAACATAATCAGTGATACTTTTGGGGCTGAACTACTTGAAGTACGCTTTATTGTTATTATATTCTTTGTACGTACATATTATGACTATTTAATTTTACCCAAATTATTTATATTATATGACAATGTATTATGGAAAGTCTATCCAAGGATGTTGGTGACAATTTCCTGTTTATTATATAGGTATGGAATTCTCCACATAGCCCTAAGCGGCTGTATTACGGCCTGTTCCCACAGGAGTCTTTGACAGTTTGCAAACTGTCAGAAACAATCGCTCAGCTGAGTTACAGATTAATCTTGGAACGACAGCATTGGAAACATGTATGGGCGATGCTTACTGACAGTTGAAACTAGTTTTCTGACTGTTTTCAACCAATGAAATTCGCTCTGACTGGTTTGTGATTTCTGCAGAAACAGACTTAATGTAAATCAGGGAAATCAATGAAATTTACAGAATCAAGTGAAATCAGCAAAATCAAGTAAAATCACATATCTGAGGAAATCGTTGAAATCAAGTGAAATCATGAAACTTTACCAAATTTAATTTCTGATTTCATTGATTTCCATTAAAGTAATGATAATCAGAAATCAGGTGTACAAAATACTTGGAAGTGTCACACCCCTCGTATATACCCAATACTGTTTGAATTAATCAATTAGATAGGCGCTTATAATAGGAACTGAAGATCATTGATGAAAAAAAATAAATAAATCAAAAATGGAGTTTGCGTGACGTTTTCCGACCTTTGGGCTACCATTGTGGCTAAAAGGTGGCAAGAACGTAGAAAGTGCATAGAGCATAATTAGTAGACAAATTCCTGGCCTTCAGTTTAGCAAATGAATTTTAGCGATAAAATGTATAGGTGACGAGATAATGCAATAAAACTGGAATCTGCTTCTAAATTGCTGAACTTTGGGGCGCCACTGTAGCGAAAAGGAAGAAGCTGAAAAAGCCACCAAAATATGGTTAACGAATAAGGAATATT